AATGCTAAGGACCAGGAGGAATGGAGGCCAGGAGCAGAGCCGACGCTGTCTAAAGGTGTGAAGGGCTGCCTCTGCCTTTTCCCTCCCCTCCCGTCAGAGTTTATATCTAGATCTCCTCCTAGAGCCCGCTGTGCACATAGGCGGGGCTTCTGAAAGGTGACTGAGTGCTGGGGCCCAGAGCTAAGAGTGCTGTTAGGAGCTGCGGCCTGGTGGGAAAGTGTGGCCACGGGGGGCGTGGCTTGGGAGGGCTTATCTCCCTCCCGGACCCCCGCCCCTTAGCATTCTGCTTCCTGTGCACTATGAAGTGAGCAGCTTTCTTCTGCTCAGGCCCTTCCACCATGCTGTCGACCTTGCAAGCACTGAAACTTCTAAATTGTGTGCCAAAATAAACCTCTCTGCCTTTAAATTGCATGTGTTGTGGATTTTTTCCCAGTAATGAGGAAAGCGACTCAGGCACTTCTGCTCCTCGCATCTGTGCTACTAATGAAATGCTGGGGGGTGGGGGCCGGAGAGAGCAGGTGTTGAGAACAAGACACGACAAAACATCCCAGGGATGCCGCTTCTCAAAATCTTCCCTGGTCTCCCTCTTGCTCTCGTGCACCCTCCTCCTGCTTCTGCCGTGCGCTAGGCAAGCTCCCGCCCCCGGGTCATGGCACTCTGTACGGTGCTTATCTTGGGGGGCCTGGTGGCTTGCTCTTCCCACCCTTCAGCTCTGGTCAGACGTCTCCCTTTTTAGGGAACTTTCCCAATCACCCAACCTAACACTGCACCATCTCCTTCTTATCCTCCCTCCTGATTTCCCACAGCACTTCCAAACTTCCAACATGTTACAGAAGGTGTTTACTGCTTCTGTCCCCTCGGCCCACTAGCACGTCAGCGCTGTGAGGACACCAGTGTTTATCTTGTTCATTCAGTGCTGTGACCACCACAGCCTGCAACAGTGCCTTGCACAGAGTAAGATTCTTAGTGAATGCTCACTGAATGAACGGAAGAAATTGAAGGGATGAAGAGATGCGCAGAGAGAAGGGACCTTCTCCAGGACACCAGAGGGAATTAGCACCGGACACACTAGGAGGACTGGGCCCCCACTGACCACGGTGAGGCCCAGGTGGCTCTGCCTTCCCATCCAGCCACTGGCAAACTCTCAGGAAAGGAAGAAATGGTTTCAGTGAATGCAAATAGCCAAGCAAAACAAATCTTACCCCCAAAGGTTATGTGCTCTCTTAGGAATAAAGACTGTAACCATCATGATAACTCATGCTTGACACTGTTGCCTTCAAAGTCACCAGTTAGAGAGAAACGTGAATTTTTAAAGCCTCAGTAGTATGTAGCAGGCCTTGCCTCAGACAAGGTAGGACAGAGTTTCCAGCATTTCCAGCTCTCCACCCTCCTCACCGGGGAGCATTAGCCTTCGCTCCATAACGCTCTCCCTGTAAGTGGTGATTCACAATCACTGGGTGCTGCAGATAGTGACTAGGAAAGCAAGTCAGCCGTCACAAGCAAGAGAAGCCATGGGTCAAATGTCACTGACTAATCAACCTGTCACTGGTCAATTACCCACTCCCATGAAGAGGTGCCAGTGATCTAGTTTCCTATCAATAATGTCTATCTGGGTACATCAGCCGCTAGTGACTGCAGCCTGCCAAGATATCCAGTGTGGTTCCACAGCCACTGGTGCCTAGGAAATATCTCTCTTTTTCTCTTAATAATGTCACAGAAGAGGCAAATGCGGTTCCTGACAACATAATGTTAGTTTCACTGAGACGTGTCTCTTTGAACGCTCAGCTAGTTATACGGAACTTCAATTGCATGGATTTTCTTACTGAAAAAACAATAGCTGGGCTCAAGGAAGTAGGAGGCTTCACACTGTGCTGAGATTTACAATTCTGCTTTCGGTTATCCTCCTGCTCATCAACCTCCCCTCTGAGTTAGGAAAAGAAAAACTGTTTGGGGGAACCATTTTCTCTCCCCACTGAAGAAACCAAATGGGCACTGCTTTCTCTTACCTTACATTATCCTGGACTCCCATTCAACATCTCTGATCTCTGGAAGAGCTAGGGGCCAGGGCAGCCTCGGGCCATGAAGAGCCTGCTTGCCTCTGTGTAGCTGTCACTCTGGCAACAACCTCACAAGGCCCCTGCTGGATCTGAAACTGTAGATTTCTTATGGTATCTGTCATAATTTCCCTTCTATCTCGACAGACTACCTCGTCGGCACATTCAACCTGTCAAGAAGCTTATTCTGAGTTGTCACTAGCTTTATATATCAGGTGAAGCTGGGAGGAGTCAGCAAGTAAACAATTACATGACAAATGCCATGACAGGGATTATACACAGAATGTACGGGATGGCAGAAGGAGCGCATCTCAGAAGCCCACGGAATGAGTGAAGGCTGGAGAAGCATTCTTACAGGGTGACATCTAGAAGCAAGAATGAGAGTCAGGATGGTAAAGTGACACATACTGCTAACGATAGGTACTTGGGAGGCTGAGGCAGGAAGACCACAAATTCATGGTTAGTCTGGACAACTTATTAAAAGCCTGTTCCAAAATTAAGAAAAAAGGGACTGGAGCTGTAGCTCTACAGCAAGCATGAGACCATGGGTTCATTCCCCAGTACTTAAAAAAAGAAAAAGCCAGCCAGTAAAAAAAGGGTTAGGAGAGGTAGGAAGACGTACATGCAATGAGAAAGGCATGATCGAAGATTTGAAGGCATTGAGGCAAGAGAGGGCAGGACCCAAGAGAAAACCCCCAGGGACTCTCAGAAGACGCAGTGCACGTAGGGTTGGGTAAGCCGGCGGAGACACAACAGACAAGGCTGCACAGGCAGGTAAGTCACAGCATGCTCACACGCTTTAGTTTCAACTTTCTCTTGAAGGCAAACAGCCATGAATCCTCTTATGGAGAAGGGTGGCCACACTGGACTTGTGGTAACTGGTGATGGACAGGTGTGTGGGCACAAAGGGAGGGTGAGATGGAAGTCTGAAGATCAAGCAGCAAGGGAAACCACAAATGTGGAACTATGGCAATGGCGCTGAGATGGCAGAGGGACTGAGAAGGCAGCACTGCCAGGCTGGTGGATGGGGGAAGACAAGGAGAGCGAGGAGTGTAGGAAGAGGCTTGTGTTTCTGCTTCGGGGAGGGATGGACGAGAAGCGCCACTGAGTACGACAGGGAATCACGACACGGGGTGACTGGATCGGGAAGCGGGAGGACAACGGAATCCCACTTTAGATGTCTGGCTTGAGATGCACACGGAACACTGTGGGACGGGGCAGGCGGGCAGGGGCATGGGGCACCAGGTAAGTAGACGGGACACTGAGAACATTAAAAGAGAGTGGGCACAGCTACTAAGTTGCCCGTTTACTTCAATCTTCATTGGCAGGAAGACTGGCCTACAAATTAGAAATGGCAGAACAAACATAATAAAGAGAAAATTGAAGTCCCAAATAGGTGAAGTGAAAGAAAGAGTATCTAGTCAATTTAAATGATTTCAAGTCCCCGGGCTCAGATGAGTTACACCCCAAGCCTGCGGAAAGAAATTGCAGATGTAATCTCAGAAACACGACTGGCAATCTTTAAGAAATTGTGGGGACTATAAGGAGTGCTAGAAGACAAAAGGAAGACAACTGCTTTCCGCAGTTTTAAAGTGAAGAGAGACAGATTATCATGGGAAATATACAAACAAGTTTTACATCATCTACGGCAAAAATTCTAGACTAGCTTATTAAGTAGATGGCTGTTGCGTAGTTAATACACACAGCTGAGAGACGGGAAGGAAAGATGGTATCTGAGGTCTGGAAGCATGTTATTTGGACTAGCAGTCTGTCCGGAATGGTTGCGGCTGGCCTTTTCCCCTTCCTAAGCAGAAAGCAAGTTATGTTGGCCTGCAGTCTGAACGAAAGGCTTCTCTATCTCTGACTTGTTGCCCATGATACTCAGCCTGTGATGTGGCCCTTGATCAAAAGGTTGACAATTTAAATGCAGAAACTGACAGTGTGAAGCAGCCAAGCCGCCCAGCATCCATTCCTCAGGGCGCCTGGAGCGTCAGGAAGCTGCACTAGCCTAAACATCAACAAACCTGCGCCCACTTGCCTCCCGCTTGACTCATTTTTATGTTAGTTCTCTCTTCATAGAGACTGCTGTCAAAAAGAGACCAAGAAACAACAAAGCAAATGCGGTAGAGCGCGATGGGGTAAGGAAGTCACGACCTACCCAAACCCCTACCTCAGACAGCCTAAGGCAGGCAAACTGGTAGACAGACATTTTCACGTAAGCCCTTCTTCAGAGGCCTCCTTACAAGCACGAGAGAAGCAGCAGCCTACCTGAGACCCAAGTGGCCCTGGAGAACTAAAAGCATACCCTCTGGGATGTCACCAGTCTCACGCTTAAAAGTTAATATAAATCAAGAAAAGTTAGGGGCTGGGGATTTAGCTCAGTGGCAAAAGCGCCTGCCTGGCAAGCGCAAGGTCGTCAGCTCGGTTCCCGGTACCGGAGAAAAACAAAAAAACAAAACAACAACAACAACAACAAAAAAAAAAAAAATCAAGAAAAGTTAATGTTCCTTTCTTAAAGGGAAACAAAACTGAGTAACAATTTAAAACCCCAAACACAAAGGTCACTAAGATTTCAGCTAGGTTTTGTTTTCACATTTGTTCTATTCATGCATAAAATAATTACAGTTGAAAGTGATTTTTCATTCATCTCCTCTCTTGACACGATTGATCCTGTGTTTGGAACCAATACAAACTGAGACTTGAGAAGCGGGTAAGTCACCCTAGAGGAAGGCCACAAGTCTAACTCTGGTGTGTCTTCCCATCAGAAAATCCGAACAATCGCCTGATCTCCCCTGCTCACCCTCTTTCCGCTCCCAACTCCCTCCTGACATTTATAGTAAGAACTGTTGAGTTTCTTCACTGAAGTTACTGAGGTCATCATTCTGCAAAAACACAATTTTTGTGGTAGTTTCCATTATAAAACTAATAAAGGCAAAGAAATCTTACCGTATCGACCCAATCATGTATGGCTGCGCCAGCTGAACCACAATTGCACCGCTTCCTAGCTGGTGACAGGTGTAGCCAGAATCCCAGTCGTAATTCTTGGTGTCCCCATTCAGCAAGGCATTCCGGCTCCGACTGACTCCTTCAATCACACTGGCACAGTCAGCAATCGTTGCAACGTTCTCTGTGGGAACTGTGAACCCAAACACAAGCTTTGGCATCAAGATAAGAGAAGCCAAATACATCCCAACAGTGTGCTCAGAACAAAATTAATTAATTACTACCTCAAGTCAGCAGTAAAAAGGAAATTAGACCATCTTGATTATCTTATGATATAAGGTTTCAAGGCCAAATAATGAAAAAAACAAAAACAAAAACAAAACAAAACAAAACAAAAAAAACCCTGAGGTTGGAAGAGTCCAAACCACATATAGCAAGTAATCTTAAAGTATTTAATTATAAAGAAACTTGAGTAAGAAACTGTAAGAGTAAACAAAATCCGAAAAGTACCATAGATATTGTGACAAGGAAAGAAAATGCTTAAAAGGAAAGAACAACTGGGATGAAGGAAAGAAGAAAAGAAAGAGAAAGAAGGAAGGGGAAAAAAAATATATATATATACACACAAAACAGCTAAGATAATTGTGCTACTAATTTCTGTTGGTTTGTTGAAAGGAACAGTTAATGCTTAATGTTTCTGACCAATTTTGCATGCTTATCTCTGGTAATATGAACAACTACTTTGAAGATAACAATATGCAATATAAAAACCATTGCTGATTTCTTATCATCTTGTTTTGAAATTCTGTATGGTTTTTAATGCTTTTTATTTTTATTCTCTTTAAAATAAAAAGGAAACATGATAATCTATAAAATGCAGAATGGATAAATATACTGTAGAATATTACTACAATGAGAAATTTTACAGCTATTGCAGAGAGAGTGCGAGGGACAGGGATGGAGGGAAAGAGACAGACACAGAGAGAGAGAGAACGTGTGCGTGTGTTGCTGCAGACTGAACCCAGTCCCCATGCACGCCGAGCAGGTGAGCTGTACCTCGTCCCAGCAATTGAGACGAACTGTAGCTACACACATACGTTGGGCAGAAAATTCATAAACTTAGAATTCTAGAATTCATAACGCAAAAAAGTAATCCAGGACACGGTACCAATTCCTCTTCACAATATACAGCTGGCCTCAGCCATGACTCATTTCCTTTTTTGTTTACTATTCTGTGCACTGCAACACATATGCTTTTCCTTTGTTCATGAATTGCTGCATCTTGGAAAGCCAGCTGTGTTTTGATTCTGAGTCACTCTATACTTCAAGTCCACATCAACCAGCTCATTTTTACAGTCAAGAGCTTCCACCAAATGATGGTTCTCAACATGATGGAGATTCTCTAAACACTGAGAAGAGAATGGGGAAAAGATAAGGCCTTCTTAGGTCCCCAGGGCCTTGTCTGTGCATTTAAGTTATTCAACCATAATCTATAATTTTCTTTAAATATTTAGGTTATTTAACTAAAATTTACAATGTTAATCTGCTATACTTTTCAGAGAGCATATTACACGCTCTGAAAAGGAAGAGGGGGAACACTGTCACTACCACCCCAAAACATTCCAGCTTTCCAATGATGTCGAGTAAACACTCTTACATGTATCTTATAAGTGGTGCATTTATTTTCCCAAGCTGGACAAATCCCTACTTAAGCCCTCATCTCACATCCTTCACTGACTGCTCTGTTCTCTGAAGATGAGGAAGGAGGAGGGGAAGGAGGAAGAGGATGGATTTTCTGGTGATGAATCTCTTGACGATGAGGCTCAACCCCAATGTAACAGCAGAACGCTGGTGATACTTCCTGTAAGGACAGTTTCCCGTCAGAAAAGGGGGCTCCGAGTGAAGCTCTCTGTTACTTTGTAGCACAACAGAGGTAAAGGACTCACTACAGAGCCAAGTTCTGCCCCCCAGAAAAGAGGCGGTGCTCTGTAATTGGAAGAGACAACTTGAGGAAGGGGCACAGGACGCGTAGCAAATTGAGCTGAGACGTGAGACAATACTGCAGGCGAGCTATGCTACAGGAGCAGACAGCACCCCCATGCTCAGTGGTTTAATATAGCACACATTTATCTTTCACTCACATTTTGTATTCAATCAGCCAGGCAGCTCCGCTCACTGTACCACTCAGGGACTCCAGCGACAGAGCTTCCCTCTGACATGTGTTTCCTCAATCACAGCAGCAGTGGGAAGAGAATGAGCTCTTGAAATAATCCCTCAAAGTAACACAAGTCTCTCTGCTCACATTTCACTGGTCAAGACAAATTATGTGGCCTTCCCTGGCATCACAGGGGTTGGACACAGAGAGCAATCCTGCTGTGTGCACAGGAGAAGTGACCCAGAGAAAAAGGGGAGGACTTGGTGAACAATATTAACATCTCCAACAAATATTAAGTCAGGATGAAGGCACAATCACTAAAAAGATAAACCTGGTCATCTGTTTAAGTATACAGGGTGTTTTAATGTACGAACATCCCAAAATGCACAGTCTCATGCTGAGGACATTTAGGTTGTTACCATTATTTTCTTTACTATCACAAACAAAAGGCTCTGCTTATGTTTCTGGTGTTGTGGTTTACACCGAGATGGCCCCGACGGCCTCGTGTGCTCATTCGTGGGGCTGTGGGGAGGTGACTAGATCAGGGAGTACAGTGGTCCACTGCACTGATGATGAGTTCACAGCTGAAAGGGATGCCGGGAACGAAGCCTGCTGGGAAGCGACTCACTGGGGGCGTGGCCTGGAGGTGTCTATCCTCTCCCCTTCCTCCTGCCACCATGCCAGAACATCCCTCCTCTGCCATGACCTTCTCCCTACTGCCTTGAACCCAGTGAACTATGGGCTGAAACTTCTACTGTGAGCCCAAATAATAAATCCTTCCTCCTCTAAAATGTGGCTGTTGGTATATGTGTACCAACTATGTGTGTGTGCGCAGTACATATACAGTAAGTATATTACATGTATAAACATACACACTCTACACATTATATATGTATGTATATATGTATATTCATATATGTATTTATATTCATGGCTATGGGTTACTTTCAACTACCTTGGATCTTACCAAATTATTCACCAAAGTAACCGTAAAACTTCGCACTCAACTCATCCATACCCTCACTCTTAGTAATACCAGATACGTATGAAGACATATGTCAGAGACAGACAGACAGACAGACAGACTGACTAATAGTACTGGAGTTGAAGCTAGGAAATCTTGTAAGCCAGGCAGTTGCTGAACCACACCCCTAGCCCGTTTTTACTTTGGGACAGGGTCTTGTTAAGTTGCCCAGGATGGCCTGCACCTTGTCGGCCTCCCCAGCAGCTGGGAATACAGGTGTGTGCCACCGTGCCTCACTGAATGTAGTGTTAGTGTTTCACTAGCTTTGTTAGACAAAGTTAAACACACCGCCCAACTACCAGGGGTCATTCTCCATCTCTCTTCTGTACACTGCCAGTTTTTTTCTTTTGTCTATTTTTCTTTAATCCTTAGAAATGATTTGCAACATGTCAATCCTTTGTAGGACATTATACTGAGATGGACTATTTAGTCCTTTCCTTTATGAGTTTTGCTTTTTCTTACTGGTTAGACTGTTCCCACATCAAATTCATACAGATATTTTCCTCTGAAAATTTTTAATTTTATTTTTCATGTTTGGTTCTTTAATCTACTTAGAATTTATCTGTGAGATAGCGATTATTTTCATCTTTTCTTCATGAAGATGGCCAATTTCCCCAAGTACCACTTAATGAACAGTCCATCCTTCACCCTGTTAATTTGTTACTTGAGTCACATGTAAAGTTCTCATATACATTTGTATCTCCTTTTAAAAATATTCTGTTTCATTCATTGATTTGCCTTGTTTGTGCCTTTACCATGTGGTTTTAGTTACTATAATTTTATGGTAATATTAAAATCTTTCCTCCCTCTCCTTTTTTCTTCCAAATTACCTTAGATAGTTTTGTCCTTCTGGGAAAATTTTACATTGTAGGTTTTCAAATGTATCTGACACAAAAATTTCCATAATATACCTTCTGCTTCATTCCAAATATGTTTATTTGTATCTTTAGGTTAGATACAAGATCTAAGTCCTCTACAAGTTTGTCTACTTTACTAGGGCTTTCAAAGGACCAACTTTTTTTTCTTTATTTCACTAAATTCTTCTCATTATTGTTCTTCCTTCTGCTTCTTTAGATTTATCTGCTCCTCCTATTTGAAGTGGATCTCTAACTCCTTAACTTTTCCTTTTCTAATAAACACATTTATCTATTGTACTTAACTTCTAACTCTTGTTTTACCACTATCTTTGAGCTGTGACACACTGTTCAGTGTTTTAGAGTGCTGGTCAGCTATTACACAGATGTCCCTGAGGCTGAGCTTTTCTGATACATAGCATTTTAAAAGATGAACGTGTCTAAATATTCTCTAATTCCCATTATGATTTTTTTTTTATTCAGATGTATGTTTTTAACTTTCCAGGCTTTTTTGGGTTTTCTGAGGTTTAAATACAATGTATACAAAAACATATGGTCTGTACAGTATTAACTTTGCAGAATTTGAGACATGTCTATTCATTTGAGAGGAGCTGCTTTAATTTTCATGTGTTTGCGTAATTTCTGTGGTTTCTTTTGTCATTAACTTCTAGTTCCATTGTGCTCTGATCTGCTAATATGTATGAGGCAGTTTCAGTTCTTTTGCACTTATTTACGCGTGTTTTCGGAACTAGCACGCGGTCTACTTTGGAGAAAGTCCCACGTGCTGCCAGGAGAATGTGGCTTCTGCTGCTATTGGGTGGAGCACTCTGTCGATATCTATTAAGTCCATTTGTACAAAGGTTTGGTTCAACGCTAATTTCTCTGCTGTTTTTGTGTCTAGCTGATCTGTTTGTGATAGTAGGGTACTGAGGTTCCACATTGCAATTGTGTTTTTGTTTATCTGATTTTGTTCAGTGGTGTTTGCTTTATGAAGTCGGGAGGGCCAGTGTTTGGTGTATACAGTGGGACTTCAGTTCACAAACACTTTTGCTTGTGAACAATTTAGTCTGCAAACAGAAATGTCTGATAAAATTTTGTTTGTGTTTATGACCTCTGCACTGGGTGATGAACATAACCATGGCCATCATTCCCCAAAGAAC